CCCAGGCTGTAGTGCAATGGCGCAATCTCAGCTCACTGCAACTCCGCCTCCTGGGCTCAAGCAATTCTCCTGCTTCAGCCTCCTGAGTAGCCGGGATTACAGGCATCCGCCACCGCACCTGGCTCATCTGTTGTATTTTTAGTAGAGACGGGGGTTTCACCATGTTGGCCAAGCTGGTCTTGAACTCCTGACCTCAGGTGATCCACCTGCCTCAACCTCCCAAAGTGCTGGGATTACAGGCATGAGCCACCGCACCCAGCCAATTTAGAACCATTAATGAAATAATTTTTTTCTCATTTGAAGTTATCTTTTTAAATGCTTTATAATTGATGAAAATGTGTCTTAAAATACAAAGACATTGTTATGTATTGAAAACATACAGCTAAAGTAGCTTTGCACTCTGCTTAACTAACCTAAATCCTTTGCCCCATGCTTACTGCTGTTTCTCCCCCATTCTCTGATGGACCAGCTGACTAGCTCAGTATGCAGCCTGCAAACCAAGGGCTTAACATAGAGACTTGTGATCTTATCTTAACCTCAGAACTGCTGCTAATCACTCCAGTCATTCCAGAAAGGTTTATAACCACTAATGAAGATGCCTTGGAATCAGGCACAGAACTACTCACCCTCAAAGATGGGGCAGATCTTCCTCCAGGCTGTGATGCCTCCCTGGCTAGTGTACTGGCCTAGCGCTGTCTCCAGAAGGAAGACAGGAATGCCACAGGTAAACAGGAAGATGAGGTAGGGGATGAAGAAGGCACCTGTGATTAGAAAACAGGCTGTTCATTTCCTGGGACTATCCTCCTCATCATCCGCATTCACCTCCTCCCACTACCAACCCACTCTGCCAGTCAGAGCCTCGGAGATAGAGAACACGCACAGCTGCAGGAGACAGCCATCAAGATGTCTGGAACCATGACAGAGATCAAGAGTCACCGTGTTACCTAAGGAATGCACAGTCTCTTGTCTTTCTTCACTGTAGAGTTCCAGTCTGCACCTATTAAAATTTGCTCCCCACTGAACAATCACTGCCTAACACATAACTAGTGGCAATAACAAGGAGCTTATTAAATAATGGATGCCTCGGAGCACTAGCACAGCCCAAGGTCTGGAATTCTTTTCAAAGAACCCATTGCTGTTAATGTCAGGTAGTCTTTCAGCAGGCTGAAATCAGATTTCAGTCATTGTTACGATCTGAATGCATCCCCTAAAGTTTGTGTGTTGGGAACTTAATTCCCAATGCAACAGTGTTGAGATGTGGAGCCTAATCAGATGTGAGCAAGTCACGAGGGCTCTGCCCTCTTGAATGGATTAACGTTATTACTGTGAGAATGTGTTTGTTATTAAAGTGAGTTTGGGCCAGGCACACTGGCTCACACCTGTAATCCCAGCATTTTGGGAGGCTGAGGTGGGAGGATCACTTGAGCTCAGGAGTTCGAGACCAGCCTGGGCAACATGGCAAAACTCTGACTCTAAAGAAAAAACAAAAAATTAGCTGGCCATGGCCATGCATGCCTGTAATCCCAGCTACTCAGGAGGCTGAGGTGGGAGGATTGATTAAGCCTGGGAGCTCGAGGCTACAGTGAGCTGTGATTGTGCCATTGCCCTCCCTCCAGTCTGGGTGACAGAGCAAGACCCTGTCCCCCAAAAAAAGTGTATTTGGCTTTCTGTCTTTTGCATGCATACTCTCTTGCCTTTCTGCCTTCTGCCATGGGATGACACACAAAAAAGTTTTTTACCAGAGATGGATTCCTTGCCCTGGACTTCCCAACCTCCAAAACTATAAGAAATAAATCTCGGCTTCTTGTAAATTACCCATCTCAGGTGTTTTGTTGTGGCAACACAAAATGAACTAAGCCAGTAATCTGTGTCCCTCTGTTTTTATAAGTATTGGCAGAGACAAGACTACTGATGCCAGATATTCTGGTATTTTCGCTACCGTGGACCTCTCATCTGCTGGCAAGTGGACAGGCGAGTTCATAGGAATAGATGACCAGAAAAGAGAACTGGACACAGAGGAAAATCTGCTTATCTGCAGAAGGTCCCCCTCAAGCTACAACTGAGTACTAGTCAGTGCATATGTGTGAGAACACTGAGGTGAGGGAAAGAACCTTTCAAAATGATTGAAAGTAATGGTGCTGACATACTGCTAGACAATAATCTCAAGATTCACCAGGCATTAGGCACAGTGAGCAGAAGGGCATTTCCTCAGTAATGGGAAATAATTATCCCTAGACTGAGCACACTTCTGGTCCTACCTAACAAATCTTTTTTTTTTAATATATTTTTTTATTTTTTTAATTGCATTTTAGGTTTTGGGGTACATTTGAAGAACATGCAAGATTGTTGCATAGGTACACACATGGCAGTGTGATTTGCTGCCTTCCTCCCCTTCACCTATATCTGGCATTTCTCCCAATGCTATCTCTCCCCAACTCCTCACCCCTCACTGTCCCTCCCCTATTTCCCCCCAACAGACCCCTGTGCGTGATAGTCCCCTCCCTGTGTCCATGTGTTCTCATCCTACCTAACAAATCTTAAAAGCAAGACATAAAAAGATCAAGTAACTTCACTGGTCCCAGAACAGAGCTCAAGAATATTCATAGAAATATGAAATTGGCTGGGTGCGGTGGCTGACGCCTGTAATCCCAGCACTTTGGGAGGCCAAGGCAGGCAGATCACAAGGTCAGGAGTACAAGACCAGCCTGGCCAACATAGTGATACCCCGTCTCTACTAAAAATACAAAAATCAGCCAGGCATGATGGTACACACCTGTGCTCCCATCTACTTGGGAGGCTGAGGCAGGAGAATCACTTGAACCCGGGAGGTGGAGGTTGTGGTGAGTTGAGATCACATCACTGCACTCCAGCCTGGGCAACAGAGCAAGAATTCACATCAAAAAAAAAAAAAAGAAGAAGAAGAAATATGAAACTATCCAGCAACCCATAAAGCAAAAATATTACCGGGTCTGGTATTCAATCAAAAATTACCAGGAGAGAAAAGAATCAGGAAAATGTTATTCATAACAAGGAGATTAATCAATCAATTGAGCCTTACCCATAATTTACACAGATGTTAGAATTAGCAGATGAGGACACTTAAAAATTATTGTAACTGTATTGAATGTGTTCCAAAAGTTAGGGACATAAAAGATATTGAAAAAGACCCAAATAAAACTTTTGGACATGAGCATTACAATGTGTGAGATTTTTAAAATACATATCGGATGGAATTAATGTTAGTAGGCAGAGCAAAAGAAAAGATTAGTGAACTTTAACTATAGTAGAAACTATCCAAAATAAAACACAGAGAGGAAAAAGAAAATTTTTGCCTGGTGCAGTGCCTCATGCCTGTAATCCTAGCACTTTGGGAGACCAAGGTGGGTGGGTTGCCTGAGGTTAAAAGTTCAGGACCAGCCTGGCCAACATGGTGAAACCCTGTCTCTACTAAAAGTACAAAAATTAGCTGGATGTGATGAGTGCCTGTAATCCCAGCTACTTGGGAGGTTGAGGCAGGAGTATCACTTGAACCTGGGAGGTAGAGGTTGCAGTGAGCTGAGATTGTGCCACTGCACTCCAGCCTGGATGACAGAGTGAGACTGCATTTCAAAAAAAGAAAAGAAAAGAAAATTATAAAAAAGAAAATGTATGCATAAGTGGTGAGACAGCTTCAAACAGCTTAATGTAATTGGAGTCTGTAAAAGAAATAAAAGGGTGAGAAAAAGCTTGAAGAAATAACGGCTAAAAATTTTACAGATTTTACGAAAACTATCAACCTACAGAGCCAATAAGTTCAACAACACCAAGACAAAAAAAAAAAAAAAAAAGAAAAAAACTAGTCCAACACACATCATAATCACATTACTTAAACCAGAATGTCGAGTTTTTAAGGGAAAACCTTAAAAGTCATCAGAGAAAAAGGACACATGTACAAACAAACAAAGATTAAAAATAACATCAAATTTCTTATTTAAAACAATGCAAAAGAGAAGACAGTGATAAGCACATTTGTTAAAGTACTAAACGGCAGGGGGAAAAAAGTTGTCAACATGGAATTCTATACCCAACAATAATACTGTTCAAAAACGAAATAACTACTTCTTAAGACATGTGAAACCTGAAAGGATCCATAACAAGCAGAACTGAACTATAAGAAATGTTGAAGAAATTCCTTCAGGGAAAGTGAAATGATGCCACCAGATAGAAATATGAATCTACACAAAGTAATAAAGAACTTTAGAAATAGTAATTACATAGGTAAACATATAGGATGTTTTTCTTATTATTCAAACATTTTTAAAAGATAATTGGCTGGTTAAACAAAAATAAAAACAGTGTAATATGGATTTTATAACATATAAAAAATGTACAATGAGAGCACAAAGGTCAGGAGGAGAAAAATGAAATTGTAATATTTTAACATTCTTATATATAAAGTGGTTCACTATCCTTGAAGATAAATTGTGATAAGTTAAAGATGTATACCACAAAGTTTAAAATAATCACTAAAATAACACAACAAAGTTACCGCTAATAAGCCAACAAAAAAGAAGAAAACTAGCAATGGAATAATAAAAAATATTCAGTTATTCCAAAAGAATGCAGGAGGAAAGGAAAGGGGGGAAACAAATAACGGAGAGAACAAACAGATTAAAAAAAAAAAATAAGATGATAGAGTTAAACCTAATTATATGGATAATCGTATTAAATTCAGATAATCTAAATATCCCAATAAAAGGCAGGGATTATTAGATTGGCTTTTAAAACACAGACAAGACTCAACTACATGCTGTGTTTAAAAATGCACTGCAAGCTCTCCTCGCCGCCCGGGCTCCGCTGCCTCTTAGCAGTAGCCATGACTGCGCGCGGGACTCCACTTCTTGGCCAGTGCTCTCCACAACGGACTGGGTCGCTACGCGCAGCAGCTGCAGAGTCGGAGCTTCAGTGTCAGCCGCGACGGCCCCTCGTGTCGCAGCGCCAGGGGGTTTGTGGAACGGGAGGTGATCGACTTCGCCCGACGGAACCCAGGGGTCGTAACATACGTGAGCTCGCGTCCGTGCTGCGTGCCCACAGTAGTGGCCGAATACCTTAACGGGGCTGTGCGCTAGGAGAGCACCCACTGCAAGTCGGTGGAGGAGATCTCGACGCTGGTGCAGAAGCTGGCCAACCAGTCGGGCTTGGATGTGATCCGCATCCGCAAGCCCTTCCACACCGACAACCCTAGCATCCAGGGCCCGTGGCACCCCTTCACCAACAAATCGACCACGTTCCACGGGCTACGCCCCCGAGAGGTCCAGGATCCTGCCTCAGCCCAGCTCCAAGCACCGTGAAGAGTTGCCCCACCAACTCCAACCCCAGGCTTTGGACTAGTTCTCCAGTAGAGGTGGTTATTACTCTTTGGGAGTCCGAGCCCAGGTAGACAAATGGAACCCATTAGTGGGGAAGCTGACACGGGTTCTGCTTGGGATAAAGAAGAGCTGCCTATCTATTTCCAGTGCCTGCTTCTGGGGGCAGTGACCTTTGTGAACCCTTAATTTTTATCCAAGTGGCATCGCTAAAACCTGAGATGAGGAAGACTTCAAGGGTTTTACAGGACCTTTGTTTTTGAAGTCCAAATTAATAATAATGTTCTCAAAACACAATGAGAGGTCTCAAGGCTGGCTTCTGAAGAATCCCTGATATCTTATTGGTACAACCGAGCTATAGAGAGATCTCCTCTGCTGTGATGGGCTAGGCACTTTATATCTGTGTGAATGTTTGTTTAAGGATTTATAAAACCGAGGTTAATAAACTTACCCAAGGTCATTTCAGGTCTTACTTCAAAATGTGTGCATATATTAAGCCCAGGCCCCAAATTTCATTGTTTAAAAATAGACGCAGAACATATAACAACCCTCAGGGTGGCTAGTATCAAAGGCCATGTGGTTAATACATGCCTGACCTCTGAATGGGAGAAGGGAGTGATTCTCAGCCCAAGCCCAGGGTAACAAGCTTTCTCTGGTCTTAGCTATACACCTACTTCCCCCAGGGCCCCTCTTGGTGCAGAAATAAAACCTATGTCCCTTGAGCCAGCTGGTGGGGAGTGCTGAGAACCATGGGGAAGGGCAGGAAGGCTGACTAATGAATATTTTCTAGGCTTAGTTTTTTTTTTGTTTTTTTGTTTTTTGTTTTTGATGAGGAGGATGGTGGGGAAATGAGAGGATATAAAAATCTAGAAACGCTTGTAAAAAAAAATGCACTTCAAATAAAAAAGACATGAACAGGTTAAAAGTAAAAGGATAAAAAATATATACCATGCTACTACTACTCAAAATAAATCTGGAGAGTTTATCTTAATGTCACACAAAGTAAATTTCAGAGCAAAGAATATTACCAAGGGTAAAGAAGGTAATTTCATAATGATTAAAGGGTCAATTAATCAAGAGGGTCAATTAATCAGTCAGTATTTTAAATGCATATTTACCTAATAACAGAGCTTCAAAATACATGAAGCAAAAACTGGCAGAACTACAAAGAGAAATATATCAATTAATTCCTGATAAATGTTAAAGATTTTAATAGCCCTCTCTTAATAATTTATAGAATAAATATACAGAAAATCAGTAAGGATATAAAAGATTTGAAAATCCTATCAACCAATTCAATTTAGTTAACATTTATTGAATATTCTATCCAACAGTCCAACAGCAGAATATACATTAGTTTCAAATGAACAGGAAATAGTCTACCAAGATAGGCCCATATCCTAGACCACAGAACAAATCTCAATAAGTTTAAAAGGATCCAAGTCACAAAAAATTGATTCTCTGACTAAATAG